TCAACAATGTTTGCCCAACCCTGCTGTCGAATGCTGTGGATGACGGAAATCCTGCCGATCGCACTACACTGACTGGGTCTTTTTCCCTGAGCAAAACTTGCAACCTGTTGGAGGTTCAAAGGAAACTGAAGAGTTCCAGTTCCCATGAAACTAGGAGGTAAGACGTATCAAAGACCCGCGATGTACGCTGATACAATTGATCTGTCCAAACATCTTGGCTTTCTGCCGGCAAAATGGAGCGAGACATAGAAAACCTCGCACCGCCTGATTCTAACGCAAAACACATCGGCACAAAGCTCTCTTCTGTGACGATAAGACTTGATACGCCCTCCCGGTATGGGTATGGAAAGCACTGGGCTTCTAAGATCCTTTCTATCAACCTTTCCGGGGGTGCTGGGGGACTTTTGATTCCCTCACAGTAGAACCCAAAGGTCAAATGATCCTGGTGATGCGCGCGCAAGTGAATATCTAGAGATGTCTCAAACTGGCGCACCTCCGTTGCTTGGTGTTCGAAGGGAATCCGCTGCTTTTAGGGGGCTCCGCTTTTGCAGACATACCCATTGGCCAATTCTAGTTCACAGCACGGGCATTAAACACAACATCAGTCTAGGTTTGGGGTTAGGCACCCAAGTCATCTAGTTTCAACAATGCGACACCCATCTTGTACAAGTCAACAAGCATCATCTTTGATGACAGCTCCACCCATTAACTCACACCCTTAAGGATGCTTTCTCTGGACAGAACTTGAGATTGAGAACATTGCATTTGGATACATGTTGAAAAACACCACCTCTGCCAGCTAGTTGGCAGAACTCCCTTCAGCAAGTGCGTTCGAACGTATCCTGCACGGAATCCTCACTTCGTCTAGGTTCTCCAGTAGAGAGGATAGAATAAGGGTACCCTTTCTTCTGCAGTCTAATTTAATAGGGGAATCCTCCCCCAAATAAGGGTAAAAGGGCACTACTGGGGGACCTAGGTGTGTTCCCATTTGCTGTGCGCCCTTCTGACGTGCGAGAGGTTTTCGATGCATTTCCCGTCACAGGCCAGCCGGGGAAAATGCTGTGCGAGTCCGGCAATCCGAATCACCTCAGACAAGACATGAAAGCGCCTTTTATTTCCATTTGGTTAAGGCCCCAGGAAAAACTATGTTTTCCAGTAGTGATGAATGCCTTTTAAGACCAACAAGGGAAAATAAGAAAATAATCTTAAGCAAAAGCTCTTACGCTTCTTGGGAGGAGGCTTGCATACCACGAGTCCAAACCTCCGCGGCAAATACATGAACATGCCCTTGAGGACATGTCGACAAGCTCATGTCCCAACGTTTCCGCCTTGGTTTCAATTCAAGGCCAAACTTCGCAACTTCTCCGCGGAAAAAAGAAAATAAAGAGGGAGAACAAAAAGCACTACAATTTTTATTGTCAGCCTGCTGAACTGACAGAAGATGTCAGAAGATCTCAGAAGGCCTCAACCAGGATGCCTCTTGAGTGTTTTATCTGGAAGGAAAAATCGTCGGGCGCCTTTTGTGTTTTTTCAGATCCAGATCGCAAGGGGGGCCTTGATTTCTTGGGAAACCAAAAAGGCAAGCCACTCAGTTGGGCGGGGATGCCCATTTGGGCATGGGGCAAAGCCAGGGAATTGGCTTTTTGGTGCTGGAGGGGGGGGTTGGACTTGGCGCCAGTCAGTAAGACCCTCTTGTACGCAGGGGAGGGGGGGGTTACGCAGGTTTTTGTCCATGTTTCCACTTACCAGGGTTCCATTTTGGTACCGGGTTTCTGAGCCACAGCCATTTCAGAACTCCTCCGGATTAATCCACAGTCAACATATGGTCCCCCCACGCATGCTACATGCACAATGCTGCCATCGGGTAACAAAGAGTTGAACAAAAACAACTAACAATAGTGGCAAAAGGTGCTCAAGGGCAACAGGTCAATCTGGAACCAACACAAAAGCAAATGGGGCTCTTCACACTGCTTGATACCTAAGCAAGTCACTGGATGGCGAGACCATTTCTCAAGATGCAAAGACCTCCCAAAAGCGTATCAGGAGCGACACAAGTGAGTCTCAATCCTACATGCCGTCTGCGAATCCAAAGTGCTGAAACCCGCTGAAGAACCGAAAGCCAACGCCTTCCCTTTTTGCCTTGCTTTCTGCCAATGAAGTGGCCCAACATGTAGGGACGCCGACAGCCATCGCTGAGCTGAGGCAACTCTGATCCAAAGCAAGTTTGCTGCACGTTGGCGTGGTTTCCTATCGAACTTATTGACTTTTCAAACGTAGGTCGACAACGGACACTTTGAACAACCGTTGGCAAGATGCCAACATCGCAGTTGAGCACAGATCCCCTTTGTTCAAAAACCAATGGGTTGGAGGAGGAAACGAGCAGTTGGGTGTTGCCGGTACGTGTCTCACTGGGAATAATCGACCTATATAGCTATCATGAAAGGCAAGCAACAATAATAATTGAGTTGCAACTTCTTAGCTTCATTCCAAAACGGAACCGGCTCAGAAAAAGGGACAGGGGCGTCACCCCACAGACAACTGGGACTTGCGCGCTTCTGAAACCCGCATCAAGCCACAACAGACTCCTGATCGCAAAGCTCTAGTTCATCTTTCACAGGGCGTGCCTTTTTCGGACACCTGACCACGATAGGATTTCAGGTAGGAGGGGAAGCTCAGGCCAGAAACTCAAGTTTGTGGTTTCGGCGCGGACAAGTGTTCCCTAGCTTGAGATGTCGCAAAATGCAAGGCCTATCGAAAATCGCCATGCCGTGCCAACTACTTTGAAACAAGCACTGCAAATTCAGATGGGCCGGAAAACCAACCAGTGGACCCCCTAGGGTTCCATGTTTTTTTTGAAGGGGAGCAAGCGGCTTGGGGTGCAAGGCGCAGGCCCATGGAGGACCAGCTCTTCTTAATGAAGTCCTGGGCGATGAGCGTGAGCATCGCATGGGGCGCGATCCGCACGTAGTAGGTGGGGAAGCCCGCGTAGAAGCGCAGCGGGCCGCCCTCGGCGAGAATCTTCGTGGCGCAGTCCTGAGCTGAAGATAGGTTGCCACAACTCTGGTCTTAAAGTACACCAGAAGTGCTGGTTTCAGATTTCAATTCTGGTCACGCTTGCGAAGTGCTTTGTAAGGGGAAACCATCACGCCGAAAAATTGGCTGGAAGCACTGGCAACCTTAAAATATATAACGCTGAGAAGACCCGGGGTTGGGCTGTTGACGCTGTTTACGATTTCCTTCCCAGACTTGGTGGGCAAATCGCTTCTTCTTTTTGGTGTGTGGGGTGCATCCTCCTTACCCTCGTACCCCAGTCGCCAGCGACCCTGGCAGAAAAGTGGAACCCTCTCCTTCGGGGTTGATGAACCTGCCAAACTAAAAGGGATTTAGAGGGTGTCACTGAACAGCTAGCTGGCGGGAAAAACCTTCTTCAATAGGAGCCCTGCTTGGCAGAGCCTCTCTATCAGACTCTGTTCTAAAGGATAAGAAGTAGGTACCTGAGTTGCAGTGGATGGTTTGGGAGCGTAGTGCTCAGAGGGAAATCCCGAGCCAGTCATGCCTTTTTCTGGGCGGGTACTGGCACCCATCAACAATTCCGGGTAGTACCTTTAATGACTAAATCATGTTTGCTTCAGGACTTCATCTCCCGACTTGTTGGGCACAATCGTGATATAATGTCAAACCAAAGAGAAATCCAGGTCCGGAAGTCTCGCTTAGGCTTACCATTCAGATCTGGGAATTTGGAATTTGCAGTTTGTCCTTCAACACAGCGCAAACGGGGCAAGCAGTCCGCAGGGTGTTCCCCAAAAAGGCCCCTGACCCATGCCCCATCTTCCGTGGCCACGGCTAAGGCACCTTTGAGGTCCACGCCTGGGTGCCCAAGCCTTTTTTGCTAAGGGCTTCCAAATCTCAGGTCCGTCCAAGCCAAATCTGCTAAGAAACGCTACACCAATGCAAAAACCAACACCAAACCAATACCAAACCACCTTCTACGCCAATGTGGCTGTGGGTCAAAAATAGGTACCCCAAACGGAACCCTTGTAAGAGGGAGCATGGACTCAAAGCTGCGGTCCATATCCTGGTGGTTTCATTTTGACCCACAACCATATCGAGGGCTGGGTACGCGGGAGCCCTGATAGACTTATAGACCGCCACCGTCCGACGCATCGATTCGGAACTGAAAGGAACCAGGCCGCCGTGGGAGGCGTGTGACCGCGGTTCAAGGGATTCCCTGCTTCAGCAAAACCAGAGACATCATTGAAGTTGTGACAAAAAGACAAACCCTACATCCAGTGCCTGGGAAAAAAAGAAAAACATGATGCGCCTTTTTCGGGCTTGCCAAAAGGGACCCCCTGTCCCAAACAAACGGTAAAGACACAGGCACCACACAGGCACCGCGCAGAGTAAAATACACCGAGGCGCCAGGGAACTCTTGTAGGGCAGCTCGCCTGTGACGGGATCCTTCTTCTGCTTCTGCATCTGCGTCTTCACCTGACACTCAAAACCTACATGGCTGTGGGTCAAAACCTCACCCAGGAAGCCCCTGGTGAACATCGAAATAGGTGGCAAATGTGTGCAAGATTCGGACAGATTTCGCCTCACCTCCTGTTGTTTTGTTTTTTTGCAAAAAGAGAGTGCATTGTTTGTTTACCATTAAAATGGTCTTTCCCTGGGAGGGAGCATTTTGTAAATCCCTCGGCTTTTTCAGTGAAAAACATTTAGGCCCTGGAACGGGGTGTCTCGAAAAAAGCACGTCTCAAGCGGCAAAAATTGCCTCCTAGATCGGCTGCCACCTGCTCCCAAACTCCTCAAAGAAATGGCTCGGGGTTTGCTGGGTTTGTTTCTTGCCCGTTCCTGATGGAAATAAACAAAAAGCTATTCTCTGTTCAGAGGGTGGGTGGCTATTATATATATATATATATATTATGTTCATCTAGAGCGTGCACCCTTGAACAAGGCTTCCCAATATGATTCCCCTTCAAATAATGTGTTGGGCTTGTTCTTACCTGTTAAATGACATGAGAAATCGGGCGCGCTCCTTGTTTTGCCAGCTCAGCGGCTATTGGACTCAAACTTTCTTCAGCACAAAATCACGGTAAAACAGGTTTCAGGGGGCCCTATATTTCGCAATCCCCGACTGCTGTTGCTCGAACAGCAAAGCAATCTCTTCTCGTGGACCTGGGAACGCAGGCCCGACGCCGTCGGGGTTCGCTGTGTATCCCTGATCCCGGCAACCAAAAAAAGCTCATTTACGAAATGACAGGAACAAGGCGATGCGGGATTTACCTCGTGAGTGGCCCAAAACGTCCCAAGTGTCTTCTCAAACCAACTCGATTCAAGGACAAGCCTAAGTGCAAACCAAATAAGCAGTGGTAAGCCAAGTCGACTCCGTGAAAGAGTGTCTGAGACAACCGGACTGCTCTGCGATGTTGGGCAACATATTTTGTCTCTCAGAGGAAAATGGTCTTCCAGACACTTTATCAGGTTCGACAGAAAGGTGAAAGGGCAGCGTATTTTGGGCGGTGTCTTTTGGGCCCTTCTTTTTGTGTAGCCACTTGCATCCATAAGTGTCCTTGTACGGGAAATAGATGGCTCTGGTAGATGGTTAAGCCACCAGGTAAACCAGGGCCATCGATTTTTCTACCAATACAACCAAAAAGGACACCTATGCTTACATCGCCGAGTCGCGAAATCGAAGGGGAGCGAGAAGAAGGAGGCGAAGAAGCCCGCAATCGCCGAAGAGGTGAAGACCTCGGCAGGCAATCCTTCAGAGAGAATATGACGCTCCAACATATGAGGCCATTCAAGTTGTGCTGGACATGAATTCGGTAGAAGAGGAAGAGTAAGGCTGCAGTGGAGCAGAGCATTGTCTTTAAGCTGCTTTCTGTTCTGTTTTAAATGGGTGTGTGTCAGAATAGGGAGACCAAAAAGTGATGGTTTGCCTTTTGGCTTCGTTTGGAAATCCCTAAAGCAAGGTGAACAGAGTACCCTCGAGAAAGAAAAAAACAACTCTCTAACTTGAGAGCCAAGTCGCGAAGATGTGTGCAAAGCACAAAGGCTCGAAGTAAGTCACATGAGAAAATAGTGACAGTACAGTATGGGAATTCACGGTAGAATCCTAAAACACACATGTTGAACGTCAGGAACTGGCCACTGTCCGCTGGTGTGAACGCCATCTTGTTTGACCAGGCATCTATAAGTGCCAACAAGCATGACAACACATGTCGTCCTGTATCTTCCCAACTGCATCTTCTCACCTGCAGGATCTGCTCAAAACCTCCAACCTGCAGCCGGAGGAAGGGGTACGGCCCAAAGGACACTGCCAAGAGTAAGCTGAATCAAAGGACATGGTGCCTGGTCCCTGAAGCATACTTTATATATCCTTACCTGGTTGAATGGTATAAGGTTTCCTTAGTTGAATCGTATATATGGCCGGGGCACGGAAATCGGCCAAAAGCGCGCAGCTGGTTCTCTTACATAAAGAGGAGGCTTCCCTACTTTGGGGGTGCCTATGATAAACTCAGAGAGGCGATTGGACCGCCTTTGGCAGAAAATTGGAAAGTGCGCAAGTAGCTGCTGCACATTGACGGATGGAACCATCATTTTAAGACCCAGACGGTCCAAGGTACTTTCTGAAGATGGCTTTTAAGGGTCAAAAGGGGTCTAAGTACGCCTGAGAAGGTCCTTGGACCCTCTGGGAGATAGTTTATTCCTTTTGGACAGTGGACAGTCTGTTTTATCTGGACTTGCTTCCCCCCCCCCCCGGCAAAGCGCCGCGCCCTCAGTGCACTTGGCAAGCCGCAAAACAAAAACAAAAAACGTGACGGGGGGGTCCATGCTAATCTGTAGCGAGACGCCAGCGCAGGCCCCGTCAGGCCGCCGGCCGACAACTTGTCCTCGAATAATTTGCTCGGTGCCCCGAGTCACAATGCCCCAGGGCTTTTGATTGTTTCTTGAAAAGAAGGATCCCTGGAAAGAATGGGGAAGGTACCCCTAGATCAGTAGGAACCTTGTCGCGTCATGTGGAGGCCTAGAAACTGTGGCTAGGTCCTCCAGTCTTGGAGGTTAGAATAAGGGTGCCCGATTTTTTGTCTGTAGTCTATTTTAGTAGGGGAACCCTACCCCCAAAAAAGAAACGGTAAAAGGGCACTACTGGGCGACCTAGCCTAGATACAACGAAAAGGGGGGGAGGAAGGGTGCATGAGCTCTAAGGAAAGAACATAAGGAAATGCCCCTGACAAAGATTTCACTAAGTTTGAGGGTGCATGGAGGGTCTCAGGCCAGATGCATGGATGGGGACTACTTAGCTTGTCCATAAGCAAGGGATGCAATGGTTAATCGCTTGTTCAGCGCTTAAAATGCCTTGATGAGGGTGGATTATAATTTCTAAAGAGTCTCAGTGGATAAGCTTGTGAAAGAGTATGGATGGGAAAAGCCCTCAGTCAACCCTTAACAATCCTTACTACTTGAGGAGAACCAATATTGTTTCCCCGCGGATCTTGATTTACAAACGTCATTTAGCTTGGCCTGTGCGGTGGATCAAGTTTCCGGTCCTGTTGAAGTCAAAAACATATCGCAAAACAAAGTGATCCACACGCAGCCTGTCACTTATCACTCAACCCCTGTAGGCGTCTAAGGGGAAAGGGTTGCGCCCAACGCCCAAGAGGACAAACTTTTGTCCTGGTGGTGTAAAATCTGATACAGCTTTGACAAAGCCAGAGTGCAAACCTGCCGCTATCCTGCACTTCTGGATAAGCTAAGTAGCCACAGTGGCCATACGTGAAGCATTTTCAGGAAGCCGGACTGAGTCGTTTACGGGTCTGGCAAAAGAAAGCACATACCTTTCTGAGGCTATAAGTTGCCCAGAATAGTCTGATTGGTGGTTCTTTTGCGATGAACAACCAAGAGCTCTGGACAAATTGGTCGGTGCACAGCAACTAAATATTGCAGGGACGGAAGAGAAGAACCTTGTAAGTTTCAACACTTATTGTTGCAGGGCCACTCGACTTGGTCCAAGTGGGCGGTTCTCCAACCCGCTGTCGCTGTCGGAAACCACATGCACATTTTGCGAAAATCTGTGTGCCTGGTCATGAAACTTCCCAAAGTTGAGCGAACATCCCCCCCTGGCTTCCTCAAAATTAGACCACAGAAGCTTGCGGGCTGTTTTGGGTTGCTGGGGAAAGACAACTACCGGGTCTTCCAGGGAGCCCGAAGCGAACCCCCGGGCGTTCATCCATTCTCCTCTACCGGGCTCTGGGTTCCTTTTCCGTTTTTGGAAAGCGTTCCTTTTCCGTCCTTGGCCACGGCGTTCCCGGCCAACATCCCAAAGTTCAACGCCATGGCCCGCGTCGCTGTGGGGGCAGCCCCTGCCATAAGCCCTGCCGCACCTGGAGAAACCTTTGAATTCACGACCAGCCGTTTGGTCAAAAGCAGGGCTGTGGGAGATAGAACCCACTTTTGTGATACCACCAAAAAGGGGTTCTCAAAGACTAACCCTCCATAACGGGGAGATTCCCTTGTACCACAGTAGTGGGGATACACCCCTTGATCCCACAACCCTGGTCAAAAGGGAACCACGTTTTCGGGGGCCACCACTCTTTCAGAAGCCACCAATCAAAGCAAAAAGGATTGATGCCACTGAACTTCTTTGGGCGGGGGGGGGGATGGGGGGATTGCACCATGCCCCTGTCTCCCGCACGATACAGCACCCAAGCGACCAATTGTGGCTTGGGTTCGCGAGAGAATTGTCCTTACAAACTGATTTTTGTCTCATGCAACAGAATTCAACTCATCAGCTTCAACGGCACATCTCCCACACCATGTAGCCCACTAGTATACCTTGCTGCGCTGCGCAACACTACAAAAGCACTGATATAAAGCACTACAAAAAGCATAACTGCATCTTGTCAGTTGCTACATTTACCATACCCTGACTTCTGGCGTACACCTTTTCGATCCCCTCGCGTACACCTCATCGAGCCTGCCCTTGCCCACCCTGAGCTGCTGTACAAAACCTCACCATGCCATACATTCCCCAGCATTCCACAGAGTACACCGGACCCACGCCGCCCGCGCTGCACATGACAACACATGACAACACGTGCCATACCACTACGGTAACATGCGTGTGAAGCTGCTTCCCTGAACCCCATCCCCCGAGCTCGGGAATGCATTTAAGCACGATGTAAGACTTGGCGTCGGTGCGTAAGACATCGAACAATTGCTAGATGCCGAGTTGGCCAACACGTGCTCAATTCTATAAATGAAGGCTTGACAAAGTTTTGCTTGGCAGTTTGTGTTGAGAACAAAGAGACTGGACACCATCAACAACTCAAAGGGTTGGGTTAAAGGAGAACCCTCAGAGGCGTTTGACCAGGGAAAACACACTAAACAACCTACCTCTCTAGAGAGACTCCTTCAGCCTGAACAAGTTGTTGCAAGGCTTGCCGGCATCTGTCTCCATAAAAAAACAAACAACAAATGGGTGGTATTTGTTTGGTTTCCATCTTGAAACCCAGAAAGTTGAAAGAGTACCCTCAGAAACAGGCACATGGTCCCATGTCCCTCAGTACAGGGGTGGATGTTGTGCAAACTTCACCATGGCGTGTCAAAAAGGCAATCCCCGACTGCAAGTAGGTTGCCTTCATTGGCCACAATCTTGCCCATGGTGGTGAAGACGTTGCTGTAGCCCGCCCTGGTGACGCATCTTGACGCATGATGCGCTGGAAGCTCGTTTGAAGTGCAGCCAAAACGCTGTGGACATGCGCAGGTGTCAAAACAAGTTCGGCCCTTTTTGGGGGGCGGGATGGGGCGGGTGAACTCTCACAGGCAGCTTGGAAACGTAGAGGTTTTTCTTCGTAGCACCCAAACCCCAAAGAAGAAGAAAAGGCTCCATCAACCAAAAACTAACCAAAAAAGCATGAGATGGCCATTTATAAAAGTGTCCCCCACTGCAAAGCTGCGAGGTGCTTCCGTTGGCAACAGCTTTCAGTTTAAAGGAGACGGGTTGACACCGTTGCCATGCAAGGAGATGATCCTTCTCAGCCTTCTTGCCTGAGGAATCTGATTGGCGAAGCCACACACACAGAAAGGCAGAAAAGTTCATGGTAACTTCACAACCCTTGGTATGGTAGCAGCAACCTGTGTGTTTGCAGCCCCCTACTAAAGAATGAACAGGAGCAAACAAAAACAAAAAACAAACAACTTGCCAAGAACAGTGAAGGAAAGATGAGTCCGGCAAACAATGTTCAAACACTTTCGGTGCTTCGACAGCCAAAAGGTGGCACACTGCAACCTGCAGCCTCTTCCAACCAGCCGCAAGGCTTGACAAAACCTGACAAAACCACAAGAAAGCCCCTGCCGGGGGTTGACTTCGTCGCCTTTCCCGCGCCCGCGCCTCTCCGCGGCTGGCTTCATGCTGTCCGCCTGGCCGACGTTTTTAGCGCAGGTTTCCCGTGGACAAAATCCTAAGATCTCACCCCCTGGTGCTGATCTGGAACCATGAGTCAGAGGCTTTAGGGGGTAAGTGGTGAATGATTGGAATCCCCATGATGATGGCGGAAAGTGAATGATAACCCCCCTCTGAGCAAAGACGACCGATGTTTCCGGCCGACTGCCGGGAAAAATGCTTTAAAACTGTGGAATAATTTGTTGGCACCTCCCAGAACCTCCTCTGATTAAAGATGTCCCTGTCCGGCCCAAGATCCCAAACATACAATCAATTTTGCTTTATAAAACTCCTTTCGTAGTCTCAATGGTTGCCATAATCCTTGATAATTGTCCTACTAAAGCGGGACCTACCTTGTTGAAGCTGATATACGTAAATCCCAAAAGGGACTTGGACTCGTCGCCCGGGTTCCAGGCGATCTCTTGGGCGAGGGCATGGGGCAAAGCGAGTTGGACACTCGCGAAGGAAAGAAACTCGGTTGCTTTCTTCTCCCCTGCTGAAAGTTTAACTTTTAGTGGTTCAAAACCCATTAGTTGGCAAAAAGTTAAAGTCCTAACATCCCTTGCCAAAATGCAGCAAAGGAAAGTAGATTCCAATCGTCCGCCACATCACGCCAGGACTTTCTGGAGGCTTTCCACTCTGTTTGCCCCTACCCCTTGCCTGGATCCCTCTTGGGAACCAGTGACTAGTTTCCATGGTGCTCCAATAGACAATGAAAAGGGAGTTGGGTGATCCTCTCCAGTTCCAATGAATCAAGAAGCAAACATATGTCAAAAACATGTAACCCAAAAGTGGGTCCCAAAAACAAGGCTGATGGTTTGCTTGGATCCGCGCTAGTGCTTGGGAGGCTAGGGAAACCTGTCCTGAGGCAAACCCTGGTTGTTTGGCCTGTGGGACTGAGGAGAAACACACCTAGCGAGAGGGTTCCCACAGCCAGCAAAGGCTAAAATAGAACAGCCTCGCATAGGTGTCCTTTTAGGGGAAATGGATGGCCCGGGTAGATGATTAAACCAACAGGGAAACCAGGGCCATCTATTTTTCTAGCAAAACAACCAAAAAGGACACCTATGCAGCCTCGCTTCTTTTTGTTGACCTGTTCCCTACAAAGGAGTGCCCATCAAACAGAAGGGGAACCGCTTCCGGCGCTGTGCGGATCGGCGCCTGCATCCGGATGAGCGCGAGGTCCGCGGGGTTCCCGACCAAGGCCGCCAGACCTCCCGCCGCGAGGGCGCAGAAGCCGTTCTCCATGACGCCCAACGGCTTGCCAGGAGTCTTCATCTCAGAGCTGAACAATTGGGCACTGCGCAACATCAACAACGTCTTAGACAGAGCGAAACTTCACTAGGTCCTCCAGTAGAGAGGTTAGAATAAGGGTACCAACCTTTTGCTGTAGTCTATTTTGGTAGGGGAACCCTCCCCAAAAATGAGTAAAAGGGCGCTACTGGGGGACCTAGTTGGGCACTGGGCAACATCATCAAACCGAAGTGCCACACTCGTTTCGGGCGAGGTTCACGGGTCAGGAGGGCGCACTCTAAGAGTTTAAGGCTGCTTAGGGACTTGTGTGGACGCTTCCCAAGCAACCTTACCCTTCGGTCGTATGATTGGTTGAACGGACCATAAGGGGCCATCAGTGACCACTTTAAGAGGCATAAACTCCCATGGCTTGCCCTTGCCGTGGATCCGATTCAGTACCGGCACTAAAAGAGTCAGGAATGCCGAGCTGCCGTGTCCAGATGTTTGTTCTTGTTCACTGCTTTTATCTTTCATAGTCATCTTTGCGGTTTTGTGAGGATTCGAGCCGAATGCCGGGCTGGAATCAACTTTTGTCCGCTTCTTCCGCGCAAACTTCTTCCCAGAGTGCGTTTTTGGTTCATGATTCGGTGCTGCATGTGCTGCATGTGCTGCATATGTTGTATTTGAGGTACTGGTGTGTGTGTGTGTGCGCTGTTGAAGCTCAGATTGTCGTGTCTGTTGCTGTTGTTGTCCAACGCCTTGAAGCAGCACTTTGCCTCACGCGCAACTCACTTCACTCACGATCTTTCGCGTGAGGATGCCGAGGCGCCCTCTGCGTGAAGTTGTCGAAGAGCCCCAGGCGCGCGCCGGTGTACACCACCTGCCGCGTGAGACCCGCTGAGAGGCCCGTGTAGAAGGCGCTCAGGCCCTCGTTCTTCCTCAGGAATTGTCGAGAGAAAAACATATGCACTTATCCTGGAATTGGCCATGCTGAAAGGAAACACACACTAGAATGTGTATTCATTGATGCCAAGTGATGCGCCCGCTACGCGCAGTCAGGTCAATAAGGTTTTCTCCGTAGCTCCACAGGAAAGTCTGGCCGGCCACACCATATATCAAACTGTTGATGTTCTCTTCCTGGGAGTTTGGGATGCATCCCATGGGTTTGCGGGGGAAGCTGGGATCCAGTTGTCGTTACCGACGCGCCGATGTTCCCTAAACACCCCCTACACCAGGACCACCCAACGACCGTTGTTCTCAATTTTGTGAAAGTGCCGTCAATTTGAAGGCACTTGTGAAAAAATGCAATCGGCAGCACTTCAGGTCTATAGTCCACCAGTTTGGAGACAATTCTCAGTCCACTCATGGCAGCTGAGTCTGCCAGGCGTTTTCCAAGCTCAGGGGCTATAAGAACTGTCCGCATATTTGCTACCCCCACTGTGAGCCTGAATCAGGACACAAAAACTGGCAAAGGCTTCTGAAAATCTTTGGCGAAAAAGCAGCATGGGACAACGCGGGGCACACTGGGCAATACGCAGGTGACACAGGGCGACACGCAAACGACACGAGGCAAAGCAAGATCGAAGCAGGGCAGCGTGCGAGCGACGCTGGGCGAAACGCACATGACACGGGGCGACACGCGAGCGACACGCGAGCGACACGCAAGCGACACGCAAGCGACACGCAAGCGACACGCTTTTGCAGCCAAAGTGACGCTTTGGGGGCTAAAATTTCATGCCTTGGGGCCCCAAAGCAGCACTTTTACTCTGCGTGACACAGGGCGACACGCAAGCGACACGCAAGCGACACGCAAGCGACACGGGGCGCACACGCAAGCGACATGAGACCGCGCGTAAGGAGCGGAAAGCAAGGGACATTTGTGGAGCGGAAAAGCGCACACGCAGTGAGCGGAAAAGAGCGCGCGATCCACGCGGAAAAGCAATCCGGCTATTTTTTCCCTTTGGGCCCGTCTCAACACCCGCGTGCGGGGCATGGCAGCATCATTTGCGCGAGTGGTCTAAGGGGGTGGACTTCAGTACTGCTGGCACAAGCTGTGAGGGCTCGAATCCCGGAGATGCTAATCCCGTGCAGGTTTCCCCTCCTGCCGAATTTGGACGGAATTCGCGGAATTCTAGCGGGCCGTAGTCTCCACGGCATGTTGACGCAATTCTGGCGGGCCGTAGTCTTCTCGTAGTCCCCCCGACAAGAAACCCATCCACCCCCCGACAATTTTTGTTCTTTCACCCCACGACAAGAAATCGCTTTCCTGCAGCTTCAAACGACTAGAAAAAAGTAGGTGTTTTGGTCATTGTATTGCTTTTGCCTCTTTCGCATCGTTTTTACCGCAAAACGACCAAGACGCCTAGAAATTTGAATTATTGGGTGTTTCCTTCTTGCACAGGGCTTTCTCTCTCATTCAGCTTGATATTGCCCACTACACCAGATGTTCGAATCTTCAGAAGCCTGAGCTCTCTATAAGGATACTTTTTCGCTTTTTTCACAAGGGAGATCTACAGTTTTAGACACACCCCACAATTGTGAGATAGACCTGGATACACCAACAATTTTACAGATAAAGTTTAAGCCTATCTGCTTCTGTTTACTATTATTATTTTTATTATTATTATTATTATGATTTTTAATTATTATTTTTATTACTTTTATTTTGATTATTATTATTATTATATATATATATATGTAAAAATGCAGACACCTTGCGTTTGTATTTTGACTGTGTGTTGGGAGCTGCGCATGCGCAGTACGGAAATCTTGCACGCAGCATTTTGCGGCGGCAGTGTCTAACGTGGCCAACCCTGATGCTTCAGTACAAGCTGAGTACTTGGGATTGCAAGTTTTGGCGCTGGTGAATTTTGGGATTTTGGAATTGTTTGGAGCTTTGGGTTTGGGAATTTGGGGGCCCGTGGCTCTAGGGCTTGGCCATTATTTTGGGTACTGCTACTATTGTAGGGGGGGACCGCTTGCTGAGCCTTGCTGTGCAGAAGTCCATGCAAGGATGAAAAGTCTAAGGTCTTCAGTACAAGCTGAGTACTTGGGATTGCAAGTTTTGGTGCTGGTGAAGTTTGGGATTTTGGAATTGTTTGGAGCTTTGGGTTTGGGAATTTGGGGGCCCGTGGCTCTAGGGCTTGGCCATTGTTTTGGGTACTGCTACTATTGTAGGGGGGGACCGCTTGCTGAGCCTTGCTGTGCAGAAGTCCATGCAAGGATGAAAAGTCTAAGGTCTTCAGTACTCAGAAGCTGAGTACTTGGGGTTGCAAGTTTTGGTGCTGGTGAAGCGTGTTGGAGCTCTGGGTTTATAGAGCTGAAAAAATCCAAAGCCACCACAGCAAGAGGAAAGGAACCAGCACAAGGAAAAAGACGCCACGAGGAATGGAACCCAGCACCTTGCGCACGAGTTTTCCTTGCAGTGAGCTTTCAAGGCAGCACAAGTTGCAAGTTGGAAGCCCTCAACTTGCCAACTCCGACTGAGTGTGAATGAGGTTGACAGTCGCGCACCCCGCCCAGAGTTACAACAACTCTGCCGGATCCGGTGCGTGAGGGCTTGACATTGAGGTTTGCGGATGCGGCTGCGGCTTGCTGAATCCGCCCCACGAGTCTTCCCCTACAAAACGAACCCGAAACACAAAAAGGCCTGGGGATCTCTGGAAAATCCTACCCTTTTCCGCACAGTACGAACTGTGTTTATGCTCATTGTGAGTTCCTTTCTGCTCAAAACGTCTCTTTTCTGCTCATAACAAGAACCCTGCAAGCGACATCGGGCGACACGCAAGCGACTCGGGGCGACGCGCAGGCAACGCGCAGGCGACACGCAAGCGACACCCCAGTGACACGGAGCAAATCGCAAGCGACGCGAGCCGACGCGCAAGCGATGCGCAGGCCGAGGAACGACCTGCAAGCGACATGCTCATGACGAGCGATGGAGATTTGCATGGCCGTTTGCTGTAAGGGCCATTAGCAGGTTTTTTGCTAGGGTTGGCGCACAGCGTGCTGACTCTCGTCACATTGCCTTCCCGCCCCTCCCCTGCACTCGTACATGTGTCCGATTTTAGGGGAAATTGTGGAAATTCAGCAAAGCATCACTTAGCGAAAAAGTGAAGTTGTTTGTGGTTTACCCCTAAGTGACGCCACTTTGGCAGCACTCGGGCGGTGCTGGCACAAGGAAAGATATTCAGAACGCGCCCAGCCGATGAAACATCATTATCGGACGTGTCGGGCATATTGATATGGATATGGCCGCTCGCCAAAAAGAACTGCGACTCATAACATCCACAAACCACACAATCCGTGTGAGCCAACCTGAATGTCAGAGCAGGCCAGCACTACATGTGCTATCATTCTCTGCGATGGGCCCACTACGGTTGCACAAAACAATTCTTCCCCAATCCCCTTTGGGCTTGATTTTAGGCAAATAAGTGGGTGTGATACGCAGCACTCAGCACAGCGATTGGAAGCGTGGACGTCTGGGATAAACGTTCACCCCCCTCCGATTGCTTCCCCTGTATCCACAAAGGGCCTTTTTGTTGGGGGTACGCTCCCTTCCGCGAGTGGCTTGCAGTAACATCCCGATTCGGGTACGTGCCAGATTAGGTGGACCCTCAAAATGGGTACCCTCCACAAAACCCAAAGACACCACACACACCCACACCCACCCACCCCACCCCACCCACCCCACCCACCCCACCCACCCCAGCCACCGTACGAGGCTTCGGAAGCCGAGTCGCAGCATGGTGCTGGCGATGGTCACGGGGCCCGCCGCCTCGGCCGTGCCGGCGGTGAGCTGAATCCGGACCTCCCAAGCGAAGCGCGGGAGGCGAGGCGAGGGAGCGCGAGAGGAGGGCGAGAGCAAGGGGACGGCAACGTTGCACCTGAAGATACGGGCATCATCAATCATGTCCATTGTTGCTTTGCTGAAACACGACGTCCGAGTCTGGGCACCATCTTGTGAAATAGAATGGACGGTCCCAAGCCCTCGAAAATAGAAAAGGTTAAACAGCAGCGTTCCCTCTTGTGCTTTTCCTCTGCCTCAGCAAACTAAGCCCTGCAGCCCTTTCTGAACCTGCCAAACTTGGACCTCATTTCATATCCAAGAATTGATATATATTTTTTAATAAATGTCTCCGAAACACTGGGCAAGCAATATTCACGGGGTGCACCTCCTGGAAATCTACAATGGGCACTGTTTGGGCACCATATTGAATAAATACAACTAGCAGGAAGGCTGAACACAATAAACCAAAACCTACTAGGCCTTCAATCCAGGAATTGGGTGTGGCCCAGGCGTCATTCTGCCCCTGTTTCTCTTCAAAGGCCGCCTACATCGGGATGGCTTCGCTCGCAATGCACCACTTGGATTCGCCACCTTGATGTGGGTGGCATAAATAAACAGATCCCCGGCATGAACTGACGCTCTTTCAGCCCACAAGGGGTCCCCCAAACTTTGACACATGCGCACCAGCCAAGCAGTAACTGGAGAAACCGATCCGAAAGCAAAGTGACTTCACACGCCGGAGAAGCTGCCCCGATGTTTGGCGATGAAGTTCAATTGGATCCCTTGGACATTCTCACGGGGGGTGTCCCTAGTAATATTCATAGCAAAGCGATCCGCATGATAGTTAATGTGCACTTTGAGTCGCTCGTTTCACCTGTAAACTCTCTCTCTCTCTCTGCAGTGCCTTCACCAATCAGCAATCAGCAAGGCCCTGCCTTCACCATGTCGATGGGCTGAATGCAGCAGGTCGCAAACATGCCCGACAGGGAGCCGGTGGCAAAGGGCTTGCAAGCCTTCCACACCGGGTTGTCCGCCATGGCTCTGGCACAAAAAGAGGCGGGCAAGTGGGCTCTTCACTTGAAAACGGCTCGGCGGTGCACCGGAGCGAAGCTGTAATCACCGGAAAGTCGATTTGGCCGACCTTGAGAAACAGTCTTTAGCCTGGCGGGGGAGGGGTAGTCTTTGGAAGGTTGCCTAAGCCTTCAAGCACGTGCTTGAACGGTCGCTTAGACCTCCTCACACTCGTGCAAAGTGTGTTGCTAAGGATTGAACTCAGCTCTCCAACTCGATTGCCAGGATTGGGCCTAGCTCATTTTACACATAGTTGAGGCAATATTGTTCAAAGGAAAACGACTTTGCGTGGGCATAGCAAGACCATGTAACCCTCTGAAACTCAGCGGCATACAAACATTGGGGATGCAGGTTTATTGTATATATGCCAGGGCATGTTTAACTTTCTGCGAGCTAGTCAAGAAAACCAGCCGTGCGACATGAAATGGAAACTATTTTCCAATTCAATACATTGGCTTTGGAGACATCCACACGCATCTCTAGCTCCTTTCAACTGCACATCATCCTACCATGGAGAACAACGATGGCGATGCAGCTGACCGTAAATAGCTTGCTGTGTTTGACCAGCGATTACACTCATGAGGCCAACTGCCTGAATCTGCCCGTGCGTCAAAGTCCAAAGCCTTAATTGGGAATTGGAATAGCACTTTACATCTAGGCAAATGGAAAATAAGCCAAGCACAAAGTGAAAGATGGACATTGAACAGACCAACTTTGAGATTTGGATGACTATTTTGCTTGTAACCCTTTCATTGACACCGTTTACATGTGGATTGTATAATTACCGACCGGCGCTAAGGGTTTTTAATTATTATACGTCATAGCTACTTGTAAACCTGGGTATTTCCAGAATGTTTGCCATCTTGTCACCCAAGCCCCTGAAACGTGGCATTTGTCACTGGCGACACCTACCACCCTTACGAGTCGAGCCCCAAAAATATAGCGGCCGCTAAGGACTCTCCTGAAGGTGCTTGGTCTGCTTTTTGCAATCCCATCCGAAAAAAAGGGGGGTTGAACGAAAGCTCTCTCTCTCTCTATATATATGTACATGTATATATAATTATATACATATATATATATATGCAATACATACATGCTCAAGCTCGCAGGTGGCAACTCGAGCGCGCGCCTCAAGCCTTTGAGCTTCAACCTGGATGGGAACTTTCCGACCTGAGCCGGCTTTCTGAGTGTTTATCCTAGCCATCCCCAAGGGGCCTATCCCATTCATCAACAGAGCCAAATCGCACCACTAGCACAGGACCAATCTTCTTGCAAGGAAAACGGCTGAGTACTCCTCTACAGCTTAAGGTGGCGCTGAACAAACCACCATGTTTAGAGGAATCTCTTTGCGGGGGACAGCCCCGAAACTCCGCCCAAATTGCATTGGCGCCAGGAGTCCGGGAAAGGTTGAGCGTGAATTCCCCGTCGAGCACGGGGAAATACGGGGAAAGTTAGTTAGGCAGGATGGCAATTGACCTGCAACAGTCTTGAAATATGTTTAAAACCTGAACTCGGGGATCCGCAAGCAAACCTTCAAATTTTGGTGAGCTCGCGTTCGACGGCTAACCCCAGGCGAGATCGCCACAGGCAGATTCATCCAGGCGACGGTGTCCCTGTGGAAAATGATGGCGCTGACCACCGCATGGTGCGCGCCCGGTCCGACCTGGCAGTCCGGTTCTCTCGCGACACCGAGCGACCGGGGAAAGACCAAAGAGATCGTCCACTCGCCTCTCAGGCCGGTGAATGATCGTCCCTGCCCCGGCCAAACGAGGGTACATAGATTTGATTTGCCACTTGCTTCCTGTTGGCATCCGAAGGGTACTAACGCTCAAAACGACAGACCCAATTCCAAATGTTGCTGGTATTCAATTTTGAAGGCAATAAAAGGAGCAACCCACTGGAAGGTCTGGCTAAATGGCATCCCCAAAGGTTGCCCCACAACGCAACAACAGAAGCATGACACTTCGGGTATACCAAAGTGAGTGTCCCTTTGGTGCTTTTAAACCTTTTGCTTCCCGGCACTGTACTTTTCTGACTTCTCGAGATGGCCCGAACAAAGTCCAAACTGGCTTTTTTGCCACTAACATGGTCTTCCCATTTTGTTTGACCACTAAAAAGCTCCAAACCCAAAAAGTGTTCAAAGTCCAAAAAAATATCAGGAAGTGACACTTCTCTCCGCCGGCTCCAAAGAAAAAAAGAAACTCTCCGCCGGCCCGGCGATCATCCAGGCGTTGGCGTGGGAGTCGCCGATGCCCGCGGAGTTCCCGGGCGACGCGCCGGGGTACCCGAAGCCTGAAGCTGCGGGGCCCACGAAGCTTCGTGGGCGCGCCCCGTCAAGAAACGTATGTCGCATGCCACAGGTTGCATAACCGATGGCGATCCGTTTTTTGGGGTGGATGAACATCCCAGTTGCCACCTTTTTTTGCGGTTTTGAGCAGCCATGCTTTTTTGCTCAAAGAAATGGAGAGAATGAGGCACCAGAAGGGAAATGGAAACGCCTAAAACCTTCTTGAATTTTGAGCCGCAGCCATGTAGTGTGTGTGATCTACGACCTCAACATATCGCTGACAACTCCTGTACCCGGGCAAGGCCAGGACCGCACCAACGACCTTGAGATCTAGCCACTTCACAACAACAAACTCCTGTGTGTGTGTGTGTGTCAGAATAGGGATTTGGACCACGTTCTCAGATGCCCGGTGGCCATGGGGAAAAAAGGGCATCCTTTTTTGGTTGGTTGAGTTTGCAGGGGAACCCTTCCCGAAAAAGGGAAAAAAGGGCGCCACTGGGCAACTGGGCATTGGTTCAACATCTGGCTGCTTCTCAGTCGCAGCAAGGAATCAACCGAACCAGGTTCTTGAAAATGAATCGCTTTGGGATTCCCTTCTAGTTGGATGGTTCACTTCAGTTCCAATCCCTCCTTCAGAAAAGCAGCAAGACACATTATGTGTCAACATCGCACAAGGACCCAACCAATTGGGCCTTCCTTTTGGTTTCCGAAGCCAACTTGAAAAGGGTAGCTCAAGAACCCTCTGTTTCAAAAGTTGGGCGTTGCCAATTTAAGAAGTGTAGCCCATAACTCAGATCCTTTTTCACTGAAGTGCCCTTCCATCTTGCGGCTGCAACAAGACCCAGCTCCTTTGGCCCCATGGATGTGAACCCCCTCCTCCTTTGAGTCAAAATCAAAACCGATCGGTATAAAAATGGTTGACCCAGAACCCTGCTTCAAGAATTAAGAAGGCGGATATCCGCAGCTATTTCTGGCTGGGATTGCCCCTTACTAACCTTCATCTACCCAGGTTTTGATTGTGGCTCATTTGGGGGTGGGGATTGTAGCATGTCACACAACCCTGGCACATGGAAGAAACGGGAGGGTTTTTTTTATGGACTTAGAGGCTCGGAGAAAGCCTGCAACATGCCTGATGCAATCTAACATGCCTCGTGCCAAGCCCCCAATGACTCTGGTTCTACCAAGATGCAAACGAGGCCGTGCTTCGATGAACCCAACTGGTTGACAGGATTGGAAGACGTTCCTTTGAGCAGCTGCACAAGTTCAGAATAGATTCAAGTAGACACAAGCCACAAGCAATTGCTTGTGATGAGATGTTACCTGCAGAAGATGAGATGAGAGATGAGATAAGTTTCCTCCAGTTACCTGGAGTTACCTGCAGAATATCTTGGAAGAGGCTTATGTTCTGTTGATACACATAACGCGGATTCTCCGGCCACTCTGGCTATCTTAAAAAGTGGCTTACTAACACCGATGCAAACAGAAGCCAACCCCTGATAAACTCATGCGGTCACGTGAAAGCTGTATCAGAATCAAGTGGGTTCAAGCAAAGCACGGCACCAATAACCTAAACAGCCAATGAGGGTGTTGGGCCCTCAATGAGCCCCATAGCGCCCATGCACCTGGCAACCACTTGCACTTTCACTGTGAGGGTGGCGGCACGGCTTTGCAAGAACTTGCTCTACAGATTAGGTTCATCTTTGGCTGTTCGCTTGTCCTAAGTCATTGGGCAATCAATTGTTGCTCGCGGAAGACTGGGGAAAACCAAGTGCACGAGTGGTCATGTTGTCAATTGCTGAAATGGCTTGCTCTTCCACATGCCAGCAAGGCGTCTTACCATGCATGCTCAAGCATGTGTCAACTGAACTCTTCAGGTGATGGGGGAATGAGCACGAAATGGTACTGCTATCACTGATAGCAAGCCGCCATATGCCGATACCGATACCGTGAGAAGCATGTTCACTGCTCACATGTTGCACCTAACTTTCCTATTGTGTCTTTCGCTGTGTCAATCTATGCAGAGAAGTAATTACATTCATTCCTAGGGCACCTGCTGTGAACAAACATTCCAAGCTTCATGCTAGGAACCTCTTTTGTGGGCTTTTTTGTGTGCCCACCAAAGAAGCAAGCCCAGAACCCTTGCCGCGAAGTGGCTGCCTTTTCCCATTGTCCAAACCGTAAGCTCTCTTAGAGGCTTGAAGATCATTCCCGGAAATTCACTTTGGGCATCTGTTTCAAGGCAGAACGAGCTCTGGCGTTGGTTCTAACCCCCATACATCCTCACCTGTATGGTGCCCCTTTTCTGGCCTTCTCTTCCTGACCCACGAGTCAACAGGAGTGTAATGAAACAAGTGCCAACAAAGCTGCCGGAGGACTTTGCAACACAGCCATCATGTCAAACAAGCCTTTTGTGGAAAGCGGATACCCATTCCGGTCAGCTGTCCAGGAAAATAAGTCTGTCCACCCTCGATTCAGGGGGGAGGGAGAACAGTACAAACACCCTTTGGCCTGGTAAGCGATAGAACTCGCCGTGCAGGGTGGTCTGCAAAGGCGTGCACTCACGGACTTGCTAAGGAGCACACTGGCAACTCGTTTGTCTTCTGTGTAGGTCGTACTCGGCGGATTGGCCGAAACAAGCAGATTGCGGCTTCATGTCGAAATTGTATCTTGGACCAATGT